CTGATCTAGTTGAAGATGTCCCTGCCCATGGCAGGGGGGTTGGACTAGATGACCTTTAGAGGTCCCTTCCAACCTAAATTATTCTGTGATTCTATGATTCTTATGCTCTCCAATTCAGATTCCTGGTTTTTGACTGAGGTAAATGCAACTGTGCCAGTCTTATTATTGGTTGGCCACCAATAACAGATATTGCAAAAAAAAATTGCGCAGCAATTGTGTAAACTTCCTCTATAGTGTATGTGCTGCTGTTAAGAGAAAAGGACAGTTCTTTTACTAGATCTGTCTGGTAATGCGTGTTTTTATAATAATAAAATGTAAATGTTCCTTCTGAAGTATTAGCATGCTTTACAAACAAGGGTCATCTTATCTTCCCTTCAAAAAGTGAGAGCATTCTGACTTTCAGATAGGTAGTTTTGATAAAACCACTTCTAGGGAGGAATAGTACCTTTGTAATCTGAACAGTGCCTCTTTGCTTGCACAAGTACATTTAACTACTAAAATACTTTTGTAGTATTGGATGTATAGGATGGAGACACAGCTGTATAATGAAGGACCACAAATTTATGTTACATAAAGACCAGACTAGGTTTTGATAACTGAGATGTATTGTATTGCTTTGGACTTGCACCCATCTGTGCCATGTTGAATGTGAAATAAGTTTTTAAAATTGTGTCTGTAATTTTGCTAACCCAAACCACGATTACTCTTCCCAACCCTGCCTTTTTGTCTTGCGTCTCCGTAATTTCTGTCTTGCACAGTCATGAATTCTGTTTGGATTATTAAAGAATTTTTTTTAAGGTTTTATTTCTTGACCTTAACATGAACAATTAAGTTTTACTAAACAAAATATTTTCTCAAAAGTTTTTGTTAATATGTAATTAAAAAAAATAAAAGGGGAGGGGGCTAGAATTATCATAGACTCATAGAATGATTTGGGTTGGAAGCGATCTCTAAAGGTCATCTGGTCCAACCCTCGTGACGTGGGCAGGGACATCTTCAACTAGATCAGGTTGCTCAGAGCCCCGTCCAACCTGACCTGGAATGTTTCCAGGGATGGGGCATCCACCACCTCTCTGGGCAACCCGTGCCAGTGTTTCACCACCCTCAGCATAAAACATTTCTTCCTTATATCTAGTCTAAATCTACCCCCTTTAGTTTAAAGCCATTCCCCCTTGTCCTGTTGCAACAGGCCCTGCTAAAAAGTCTGCCGCCATCTTATTTATAAGCCCCCTTTAAAGGACTGATAGGCTGCGATAAGGTCTCCCTGGAGCCTTCTCTTCTCCAGGCTGGACAACCCCAACTCTCTCAGCCTTTCTTCATAGGAGAGGTGTTCCATCCCCCTGATCATTTTTGTGGCCCTCCTCTGGACCCAATCCAACAGGTCCCTGTAATTGCTGTTATGAGTTAGTGATTCACCTAATTGTGCTTTGCACTGATATTTTCATACTGCATAATATTTTACAGAAATGAGATGTTATATTTCAAGCTCTTACATATGTCTTTTATGGATTTGGTGAGACTCAGTAATCATACATAGTGCTTCATGGGGAACTGGAAGCTTGGATCCACGTAGCTTTTAATTAATTTAAAATCATTAATACAAATGAGAGGGAAATATGATATTTGTTTTTAAAAAGTGAAGTAATGTATGTGTCACTTTCTACGCAGTTTATGTGCATAATCAACTTAAATGTTGTTTGTTTTTTGATGCTTGTTGCCTATCTTTTCCAGTGAGTTATCAACTTCCAACTGTCTATCTGTTGGGATAAGAATACAGCAGATAAAAAATACATAGCAAGTTTTTGGAATTTGTTAGGGATAGGTTTTTCATAGATACCTAAAATAGAGGAAAAAAACCAACCAAACTCGGAATATATTACATTTGAACCTAGTAAGTAGGGAAGAACTGTTTGAAAATGTGAAATGGAAAGCAGCGTAGGTGATCTTGATTGTGAAATAACAAAGGCCACAATTCTTAAGAAAGGAAAGTGAAAAGCAAAACAAAATGAACTTAAATATAACAGACCAGCAAATTCAGAGTGTGTGCAGAGAAAATGCTTTAGACGGTTAGTCCAAGCGAAGAGTTTACAAGTTTGTTAAAGAGTCTCTGAGGACATTGCAACGGCTTTTGCTATTGTAGAAGGCAGCTAGGGAAAATGGTAGGAAACTGACCTGGCTAAATCATGACCTTTTCAGTAGCTTTGAAAACATGAAGAAAGCTCAGACAAAATAGATGCTAGCTCAAAGTATTAGGCATGGCTGGTTGGTTGTGGGTTTTGTTTGTCTGTTTCTTTTTAACAAAACAACAACCAAAAAAATGCCCAAAAAACAACAGCGTGGACCAAATGTACAAAATGAAATAAAGCTACTGAGAGTAGTTAGACTGTAGTAAGTCTATGATCAAGGGAGAATATTGGTCTGCTACTGTGTGAGGAAGGAGAGCTGTCAACAGATAAGCTGAGAAGGCGTTTAATATTTTTCTTCCAGTTTGCTTCAGTTTTCATTGCGCAGGATGGCTATGATCAGATGGTTAGTACAGCTAGGAGCTTTGGCAAAGGTTGGGAACTCAAGACACGGTACAGAAAGGATTGGATAAAATATAGGTGGATTTTTTCCAGTGGCTGGGCAGTTGTGGTGGTGGCTTTTGTTTGTTTTGTTGTGTGTTTGTTGTGGGTATGGCGAGGGGGAGTGGTGGTTTTGTGGGTTTTTCCTGGTTCATTCCAGACACCTGGCTGAAGCATCATTTACAGCATTAATTGTGGGGGGGGATTTTGTTTGAGATGTACTTTGTGAGTGGAGAACATTCTGGAGGAGGAGGAAAAGGTATTAAAAGTTCCTTGCCCAAAAAGAAAGGTGGGAAGAGGGGAGGAGGATACCCTGGAAACGAAAGGTTAAATAGCTTAAGTTGTTGGAAATTTGCTTGAACAAATCAAACTGCTGCAAATGAGAAAAGGAAAGAAATTAATATTATGATGGATTTGTGCAGAAGAAATGTGAAACTTCTTTTTCTGGTGAGTTAGGTAGGTAAGGGAGAAGTAGCAGATGTCAAATCTTATCTTAGAATCATGTACTTTGGAAGGGATCTCTGGAGATCAACATGAAAAATAGCTGCATAAGCAGCACTTCCTCAGGTGAGGATCTAGGGGTTCTACAGGGTTGCAAGTTGGTCATAAGTCAGTGTTTTACTTTGCAAAAAAGAAAATGCTGTATGAGGATAGATCAACAAAAGTACTACGCACATGAAGTAACTTTTCTATTCTGCTGTGTGATGGTGAAGCCTCAGCTCCAGTTTGGGTACTTAAAAGCACAAGGAAGATGTGGACCAATTAACGAGTTTTCAGAAGAGTGTAACAGGAAGGGGAAAGGTCTTAAAAGAACACTTGAAAGATATTTCACTTACAGAAAGATAGGGAAATACTGTACTAAGCTTGAACCTATTTTGAGATCAAAGTCAAAATGTAATTGTTAAAGAGGCCATCCTGTAGTCTATTGCTCCAAAGACTTTGTAATAGACCTGATTTTCTCCTGTTGTTTTTTTGTTTTTTTTTTTTTACATAGAACATTAGAATCATTATATTTTTGGCTGAGGTTCTGCATGCCACAATGCAAGCTTTGGTGAGTTCATCTCTGGCAATATTGGGAAATAACTGCTTTGTAGCGAAGTGTGTTAGAGACTGTACTGTGCTTTAGACTGAAACACCTGCTCAAGTTTCTTTCATTGTGGATATTTCCATGGAGAAGTAAGTCTTTCTTTTTTGAATGTGGCAGTTGCATTATTGGATAATTCTAAAGAGTTTGACAATGTCATTTGGAATGCATTGCAAATAGCCTTGAAATACATTCTGAGTGCAGTTCATGTGCCTTACTCTGTTTCAGGTCTTAGTTTCAGATGTCTGTGGGTCACCTATCTTTTTTCTGAAGCAAGTACATGTTGCCCACACACTGAAGAAAAGACTTCTCTTGTATGGGACACATAATACTTGAACTATTTTTTTTAAATATGTGGGACCATAGGTGAAACTGGATCCTTTACCTGTTATTTTCTTTATCATGTAGATCAATTGATCTCTAATGTGATTTCAGATGCCTCTAATCTTGCTTATGGCAGAACTCCTAAGACTCTTAATGAGGGCCGTATAATATCCCTTACTATTCCACCACTTGCTTCCCTTTGCTCCTGTCTTAGAGTGCAAGTGCCCTGTGTGAGGTACAGAGCAGATAAATATTCCTTTTTGAGTTACACAAGCACAAAAATTACCACATGCTAGATCAACAAACTTGTAATAACTTCGTAAATGTTTACACAAAAAGTGTCAAACCCCTTCAGATGTCATGAATTATAGCAGTTTGGTCTTGGGCACAGGGTAAATAAAATTTAGATGATTGACTGTTGATTAGTAAGATTTCTCTGCAGCTCTTTATCTCATACCTCTCATATAAATGGTGCGTTTGTCTTGGCAAAGTAACAAGAAAAATCTATGGGGCTAGTGTGTCTGAATGTTAGACATCCAAAATTAATTTTTTTTTGCTTTCTTTCTGTGCTCGTACTACAACATGTATATTAAAAATATGCAAGATAGATACACAGACAACATTAGATCTAAGAAATCTCAATTAGTTCAAAATAATTCATTTGCATTTATTTTGCTAAATAAATAAATTCTGTCTGCATTTTTGATATTACAATTAAAATGTTACCCACTGCATATTAGCATAAACAAATGTAGACATATCGATAATATTACTTACCAGATGGTTTATCAGTTGAAGTCGGAATACTAGTAACTGCAGGCATGGTTGGTAAGGTAGGTGGCAGAACCTTTAAGTTCTGATCACTCTGAATCTCATTAGTAGATATCTGGTTAATAATGCGATTGTAAGTAGGAGGCTGGTACACTTTATTTGGTGGCTGTGGAGTTTGTGGCAGTGGCTTTATGGATGGCATTCTTTGACAGTGTTCTTCCAGTTGGGCAATTATTATTGACTGATTATTGGCAATTGACATCAAATGTTGGTACTTGTGCTCTAAGTCTTTGTATTTGTTTGCAAGCTGCAACATATCTGCAGTTTGGTTCAAAATCTTATTCTCAAGTTGAGAAAGTTCTAAGGCGTTGTCACGTTTTCGGATAATTTCATGTAGTAACTGCATATAGAGTTGTGTGACACGAGAATTCATATTTCTGCTCTCTTTTCTTAAGAGTTTAACCTCATTAACAATCCCACCATCCACCTCTACTAGTTGCTGGAGAGTTTCTATTTGTCTCTTTTGTTTAAGAAGTTCATTGTTAAGTAACTGTAATTCTTGTTTATTTACCCTGTTTTCGAGTAGAACTTCAGGCTCCTTAGAATTAACACAAATGGCACCTGTCACTCTCTGTTGAGGTACAATAAAGGTGTAAGTGCATTTGTCCTGTGTGTCACTGGAACGCTTATATCTGTTCATGTAAATGAATTCTTGTTCTGTTTCCTCGTCATTGCCTTCAAATTCCTGCGTTTTGCTTCCAGTAGCTCCCACAACAGCTATTAGCATTAAACAGATGAATCTTGTTGTCATCATGATCCTCTAGTTCTGGTCAAATATTCTTCTGCAAAGAACTTTTTAAAATCTGTTTTAAAATAAATTTAACAGTAAGTAACAAATAGGAAATCAATGCAAACTTACAACTGATAATCTGTTCTAAAACTTACAAAATATTACGTAGTAACTAGTATGTCTGTGTACAAATAAGATATTTTTCTTGTCCAGCATGAGCTTATGTTGGCTAAAGGGGACATCATGGGGAATAGTTGTATCATTCTGTGGCTAGAACTGTAGTTACTAGTTGCTAGTTTGTCTAAAGCCTGCCAAGAACCACAAGAAACTAAGTAATAAATACCAGGATTTGAAGAGTCCTTCCAGGCAAGTACCACAAAAGTTTCCAAGATTGGTGTTTTCATTTGAATATGAATTACATTTTCATTTCTTACAGTTACAAATCTAACCTTTAAATGTAAGCAATGTAAGTTAGTATGTGCTGTTAAAAGTTTTAAAAATATCAAATAGCTCATTTGCAGTATTTTATAACTGCATGTATATTGCAGGAGATACAGCTTAGATGATAAGTAACAATTTTGCTTTAGTCAGCAGTATTGAACCTCAGTTTAAAAAAAAAAGAAAATCTTACTCTACATTAGTCCTTAATAATTATAAATTAATAACTCTACTGCCCAAATACCATAGGCAGTAAAATCTGTTGTTTTTCCAGACTAGTAGAATTTACAACTAAAATATTTATTGTGACTCTCACTGGAGACATTGTCTTTACACTCAGCCTGGTCATTTCACTTCATAGTCTCTTCTCAGAAGGGGAAAATGTGCATATGTGCATGGTGGACAAAGATGACCCTCAACTATTAAAATTAGCTACTAGGGTTTATTGACATACTGCAGCAGTACCCTTTTAGTGAAATTACGTTAACTTAGTTCTCAGAGCGGATTCATATTCAAGGTAGAAATTTGAGGCCATCACAATCTCTTAAAAAAATAAGTCAATACCAGAACTTTATAGGCAACAGTCTTGGAAACATGAGCTTAGTTAGCATTGTCACTAC